GCATGAGCAGGTATATTCAGGGAGGAAAGCCATCTCCTTGATGGTCTCGGTTCTCCCTGGGAGTGGGGCTGGGAGCAGGGCTGGTGCTGGGCCCACAATAAAGAATCCTGGGAGGTCCATGACCGCCTGTATTTCATTGGCTAGTGAGGGAGATAGCATTCACCCCGGGGAATAAAGGGGGTTATATGGCCATCATTGCTTTGCAGCAAGAGACTGCAGCCAGCTATTTTTGAATTCTGTAATGTTGAGATAGCTAGACCATTGAATGTAAGGAATAGCAACAGAAGTTCTTTTGGTGCCCAGTTGATATACTATGGCTGATGGGTGGGTGATGAGAAAGTGGATCTCAAATATGGGACTTCAGCAGCACCGGCCACAACTAGGAAACAAACTTTGGTTCACAACTTGAAATCAGGTACAGAAGACTTTGCAAGCAGAAAGCCTTGCACATGAGCCAGAAGTAGTGCCTACCTCTCTGGCAAGGACCCCCTGCAAGTCTTCTGAGGGCAGGCGCAGGGCAACCAGATGCTGTTCAAGACAACCGTGAAGGGCATCCTGAGCAGGGGCAGCAGGCCTGGGAGAGCAAAGCCAGAGAATGAAAAGGTGAGCTGGGCACTGAAAGTGAGAGAAGAGAAGAGGCTAGACAGGTAGGTGGGGGCCAGATGTAAAGGGCCTTGAAGGATGCTTCAGCCTGGAGTCAGGAGTAAACCTACCCCCTAGCCTAATCATCCAGTAGGTCTCACTTCAGTCATGTCCAAGATCAAAAGGTAGATGGGCAGGGTCTAAGAAGCTCCCTCCAGTCAGGCCCTTCTATGATGCCCAACTCCAGCTGTGGGCAAAGGGGGCCAGTTTCCACATACTACCCAAGCCAGAAGTGTGGGTGCTGACTTGGGTCCTCTCTCTCTCCCGTTCCTCCCTCCACACACACACACACACACACATCTGGTGAGCAAGTCCTGTCTGTTCTCCATACCAAAAGCTGTTAAATCTACCTCAGGCCTCTTCCACAATGAAAAATGGAAAAAGAAACTTCACAGCCTCCACCCTTTCCCGCCACCACCTCTCTCCCTCTCCATTTTCCAAACAGGCACCTGCAATGAGTCATCTACACCACCCAATCATTTCCCCACCCACTGCAACTAGCTTCTGTCCCATCTGTCCCCGATTTCCTCCCTTCATTCTGACCACGATCATCAATGACTAAGTGACAAAACCAATAAACGAGCTCTTCATTTTGCATTTTACTTGAGCTCTTTGTGGCACTGGATGCTGTTGATCAACCTTTTTTTTTTTTTAACTTCTATTGAAGTATATTTTACATATAAAATCTACCATTTCAAGTCTACAATGATTTTTAGTAACTTTACTGAGTGGTGCAGCCATCCCCATAAATCAGTTTTCAAACATTTTCATTCCCCCAGTGAGATCCCTCACAACCACTTACGGTTAATTCACATCCCTGCGCCCAGCCTCCACTAATCTATCTATAAAATTTGTCTTTCTGGACATTTCAAGTAAATGGAATCTTACAATATGTGACTACTCCCTTCTAAAAACACTTCTCTGGCTTCCACGATGCCACCACCCTATCAGGCTGCTACTGAGTCACCTCTTCTATCAGTTCCTTAAGTGCCATGGTTCTCATGGTCTCACTTGCCTAGCTGATTTCATTTGCACCTAAGGGTGACAACTCCTCTGTCTCTATCTTCAGCCCAGATCCCTTTCCTGAGCTCCAGACACATGTTGCCAGCTACATCTCTGCAGGGGATGTCCATGGGAACCTCAATCTCAATGTTTCTGGGAACTGAGCTCAGTACCTATTACTCCATGCCTCTTGTGTGTCTATCTCAGTGACAGACACACACCCACTCTGTCCTCCAACCTGGAAACCAGGGTAGCCACTATCTTTCACTCCTTTTTCTCTTTTCCACCTCTAGTAAATTACTGACTCTGAAATCAACTTCTCAATGTCATATACACTGAATATAGATATTTCCCCACAGAAATTTTTTTTAATTAAAAAAATTTTTTTCTTCTGAGAAAAGAAAGAATTGACTTATATTTCAGTCCTTACTAACTCCCTCATATAAAGAGACACTCTTGTTTTGAACCAAAAAGCATTTTTCTTGAGAAAACACATTACCCTGAAATGACCTCAGCCAAGCTAGTTTTGGATGCTTATAAGTAGTCCCCTGACAAAAATCAGTAAACAAGGAGGCAAAGAAGTTTAATACAGACTTAGTAATTATTTCTCACAGCCCCAAATATTCCATGTAGACAAGCCTTTCAAAGATCACTAAATAGCAAGACAGTGTTGATTTTTTGTGGATTTGAAAATTATACTGTACTTGAGAATATATTTTTTTAAAAGAGTCTTTTAGAAAAACACTGAAATATTTATGGGTAACATGATAGAGTTGAGAATTTGTGTCAAAATAATATGGGAGGAGCTAGTGGGTAGAGTTCAGCACAAAACAAGAGTGGCCACCAGTTCATAATCAAAGCTGGATGATGGGTACATAGACGTTCACTATATGATCCTGTCTACATTTCTACACATTTGAGATTTTCCATTAAATGTTTAAAGCAATACAGTGAGTGGTTATCATGAAGATCACTAATATAACCTATAGGAGAAATGGCGGGGGAGGGGGAATCTAATTTATCTTAATGTTATATTAAAAGGTAATCATGCTTACTTTAAAATTTCCAGTGATGGGCCAGCCTGGTGGCGCACTGGAGAGTGTGCCGCTTGGGAGCGCAGTGGCGCTCCCTCCCAGGGTTCGGATCCCATGTGGAGACCGGGCCAGCCCAGTGGTGCACTGGAGAGTGCACCGCTTGGGAGCGCGGCGGCACTCCCACCGAGGGTTCGGATCCCATGTGGAGACTGGTTCCCGCTCACTGGCTGAGCGTGGTGCGGGCGCAACACCGAGGGTTGCGATCCCGTTACCGGTCAGTAAAAAAGACAAAAAGGAAAAAAAAAAAATTTCCAGTGATAGCAGCACATACTGATTCAGAAAGTATTCTTTGCAACAACGTGGATAAATCTCAAAAACATTACACTGAATGTAGACACAAGAGTACATACACTATGATTCCATTTATATGAAATTCTAGGATAGGAAAATTCTAGGAAACTCTAATCTGTAGTAACAGAAAGTAAATCAGTGGTTTGTAAGATGGGGGCAGGGGGAGATTGACTGCAAAGAGCCACTAGGAAACTTGTTGGGGTGATGGAAATGTTCTATACCTTGACTCGTGGAGGTTACATGAGGGTATACATCTGTCAAAGCTCATCAAACTTTACACTTAAAATGGGTGCATTTTATTATATATAAATTATTCCTCAAGGTGATCTTTTAAAAAACATTCTCTCTGACGCAACTTACAAGACAAGTGAAGGTGACATGCTTTGAGAAATTGTACTAGATAACTCAAAAAGTGGCTCTCGGGCCGGCCCGGTGGCGCACTGGATAGTGCGCCGCTTGGGAAGCGCGGCGGCGCTCCCGCCCGAGGGTTCGGATCCCACATACGGACCGGTTCCCTCTCACTGGCTGAGCGAGGCGCGGGAGCAGCGCCGAGGGTTGCAATCCCGTTGCCGGTCCCCGGTCCGGTACGGGGGCAACACTGAGGGTTGCGCTCCGTTGCCGGACACGGAAAAAGTCAAAAGACCAAAAAAAAAAAAAAAAAAAAAAAAG